AAGCCGCTCATGTCGCTACCGGTGCGGCGGTGGGAGGCGGTGCCCGACGAACCGAAGCTGAAGTCGGAGGCGTGGCCGCGCTGACCACGCGTGGGATCGAAGGCGGAGGCGCCGTAGCCGACGGAGCTGGCGCCGTCGTCGGTCATGTCGTCGGCCTCGCTGGGGGTGGGACCGATGCCGGATCCGCCGACATTGTAGCCGAGGTCGGCGAAACGACTCTGGAGGCTGAGCTGTCGCTGGTGCGAGAGGTTGGCGCGGAAGTCGGCGGCGGAGGCCGAGTTGGAAGCGGCACCAGACTGGTTGGAGTGGCGAGCGACGGCGCTCTGGAAGGCGGCGTTGCCTGCGAAGCGAGGGGCTTGCTGACGATTGTAGTTGTTGGACGGTTGCTGAGGGTGAGCGGAGTCGGTGGTGGCTTCAGCATCCTCGCCGAGACTGGCGAGGCCGACGGGACGGGAAGCAAACATGTTGCGTGCCTGGCCGGAAGCGTTGAGGTTGAGCTGTTGCTGGAGATGGCCTTGCAGATTGTTGGCGGCGCCGAGATCGCGATGATTGTCATTGCGATCCATGGCGGGCAGGGACTGAACGCAGCTACGGAAGGCGTGTTGGTTCAAATGCAGAGACTGTGGCAGCGAGTGCGAGAAAGGTGGGTCAGCTTCTTGATTCTTTGGAAGAAGAGCGCGTAGCAGGAGGCAGAAGAAAACTTACTTTTGCGAGAGCGCGAAAGGACTACGAGAGCGAAGTCACCGAAGGACGGAGGGTATGATGGAGCGGAGAGAAGCTTGTTATGAAGTGTTGTGGGTGTGTGAAGGTCGAAGGGAGGTGAGTTGGACAAGGAGAGGAATCTTTGACGGCGTGCTGAGGAGAAGATGTGGGTCGGTGGAAGCGAGGCCACAAAGAAACGAGAAATCTATCGAGTATATATAGACGAACGATGCAAGGTTGGAGAGCTATGCTATATGATGCTTCAAGAGCCGGGGCGAGGATGCCGAGGGGAAAGAAGACGAGAGCTCGTTGCGCTGAAAAGACGAGGAGCGAGAGACCGCGAGAGACCGCGAGCAAGGCAAGGCGACGGGAGGCGGACGAGGCGGCGATGATGTGCTAGCGAGCGTTGGTTCCGTTGCGAGGAGGAGGAGGAGGAGGAGGAGGAGG